AAAGAGGTTTTGACTATATTATTTTTTATGTAGGACAGGTTAGCTTTAGTTTATATTTACTGGAGGAGGAAAAAAAATACTGGACCAGCAATATACATATGAACCTTTTTCTTTAAAAACAAACAAACAAACAAAATTAAAGGTAGAGAAGGACCATATAAAAGATACGGCACTTACATATCAAAGTTAAAAATGGAGGAAATACTATTACTCTTAAAACAAAAACAAAAACAAAACAAAACTGGTAGTTCCAGTGGTGTCTGTGGCATGCATAAGGAGCCTAAAAGTTACAAGTGGATTTTATCCAAGCTCTTAAAAGTGAGCTCATTGGGTCCTGACTCCAAATGACTAGTTTGGGGTTTGTTTGTTTTTCAGTAAAGTAAAGAAAAGGGGGAAAGAATGTTATTCCTAGTATGTTCTATTAAAACAAGCACAAGCATTCATTTTTGGGGTCAGCTTGAGTCAGATATTACCCCCCAATTTCAGACTCAAAGTGGTTTGGCAAGAAAAGTCAATGGAAAAATTGCTCATAATGTCCGTGTTCCCATTAAGTTCTACAGTCTGCTCTGCAAACCAATGGAATGTACATATAGTAAAAAAAAAACCCAATAGTGAAAAAGAAGCTCTAAGACATTATTATCCCTGGCCTATCCCAAGAGTGAAGCTTATAAAAAGAACTTTCTGGTTATGGCAGCTTCACGTCCACATCTGTGAATGGGATTTCTTTGCTACAGGAAAGCCTTTGAAAATGAATGACTATTTGAGGACATTCAGCTCCAGGTCAGTCTCCTGGCAGCCCTTCTCCTCAGGGCATAACCACAGAAAGAAGGGTGAATCCCATTTCAAACTCCCAACCAGTGCTTTGTAAGGATGGTTTTTTGGGAAGTTTGGAATGATCACTGGCTTGAATTCAGCCCAGTGACTGAAAGTCCTTAACATTTTATGGTTGTTTGGCCCTGTCTGTGAAATAGGCTTGGTGATCTCTGACCAACCCCTACTGGACTGATGGCTACTCATGAAAAACCACTACCATGATTGGCATCCTTGTTGCCATTCACAACACCAGCCAAGCACGGATCAAAAGAGCAAGGATGCCTAAGTATCTTCTCACCCACAGAGCTGGTTCAAGAATGAGGTAAAACTTTCATTGCCCATGCTGTACCTGCTCTGTGAACAAACAGGGGGCTGCACCCAGACCTAGCTTTTACAAACCCTTATTTTGTGGCATTATGGTAACATGATAGAAAGACTTATACACCACAAATTCCTCATACTTTGCACCATGTTATTACTAACAAATTTATTTGGGCATAAGTTTTCGTGGGCTAAAACCCACTTCATCAGATGTATCTGATGAAGTGGGTTTTAGCCCATGAACGCTTATGCCCAAATAAATGCGTTAGTCTCTAAGGTGCCACAAGGACTCCTCGTTGTTTTTGCTGATACAGGCTAACACGGCTACCCCTCTGAAACATGTTATTACTGTGGCTTAGTGCTGCTCTTCTCCCTTCGGGCTACTACTCTATGGAGTTGATGGAGAGCAGAATTATGACATCAGGGATGAATCAACCAAACAGCAGCCTCCCCTCTTCTCTCCTCCCACCTACTCCTGCCCCAGTACTGGGAGTGGCTTCAGTGAGAGTTTTGTCTGCATGAGGAGTGCAGGGGTTGGCCCCAAGATTTATCCCTCCTTGAGCAGCTGAGGGTAAGAAGTGTAAATACACTATATTGCTGCTTTGTTTACTGAGTTTCCCATGTTTAATCTGAAAACCCCAAGTTTTTATTTCCCCTCAGTGGATTGCTGGCTTTCCATGGACAACATCCAGCTCAAAGCTGATGGGAAGAGAGAAGAGAATTTCCTCTGGGATTTTTGACAGCCTTGAGAAATTACAAGAGATGCATACAAATACAAGGCAAGTTGCTAGCGGCCATCCAAGTGCTTCATATGGCTGATACGTGGGCACAGGAGCTGATTTCCCAAAGCAGGTGGCAATGTGACCGGCCAACAGACAAAGGAGCAAGAAGAAACCTTCCATTTGCCCCTGTTATTTTATATTTACAACATATTAGCATGTTGGGGGTGAAAAGGCTAGGAAAGCAAATGGAGAAAAGGAGAGGGGGAAGATACATTTGGGGGTGAAGTAAGGGCAATAGGACTGCATAGGAGAAGGGGAAGGGCCCTGTAGGTACTTATGGCTGGAGAAAGTGTGGGTTATGGGTACAGTCGGAAAGGGGGCGGTGAGGGCCTGCTCCAAAGCCCAGTGAAGTCAATAGGAGTCTTTGCACTGACTCCAATGAATTTTGGCTCAGAGCCCTAGGGTGTATGTGTTAACAAGTGTGTTTTAGCAGGTGTCTGCTGGGCCATCACATCTGCTGAAGGAAAACAAAACAAAAACCAGGCGCCACCAATAAGCCTCCAAAGAAAGCCCTTTGATGCCGTGCCCCCAGCTGGCACCGCTTCTGCTGGCGTTCCCATACCAGTCCTTCGAGTTGGCCGTACTTCCTGCTCTCAGGCTGGGAACAGACGAAAGCATAATAGTGATCATGTAAAAAAATACATCGGCATCAGAGCATCTAAGCGGCACCATGTTTGCCTTTGAGAAGGGGCACCAGAGCTGTTTGCTGGCCTCCAGCTGGCATCCGAAGAAGTGGGCTGTAGCCCACGAAAGCTTATGCTCAAATAAATGTGTTAGTCTCTAAGGTGCCACAAGTACTCCTGTTCTTTTTGCGGATACAGACTAACAGGGCTGCTACTCTGAAACCTGGCATCTAGCAGGTCTACTTCTGGCGCCTCAACCCCCACCCCCGCCTTTGAAAGGCAGCGGGGGAGGGGCTCCCCCCTCTGCTGTGACTTCAGAGCCGCGCTCCGAGCTCAGGCTCCCCGGCCCTGCACCTCGCCGCCGCACGCGCTGAGCAAGCGTCGCTCCCCGGCCGCTGGGGCAGACACCCCCCTCGCCCCGCCGCCAGCGCCTCTCCGGGAGGAGGAGCGAGGCGGCTCCGGAGGACTGATCCGCACCGTCCCAGAAGGGCGGGACTTGCGAGTGGATCTAGTCAATGGCAAAGAGCCCCCCCTCCCCCTCCCCCTCCCCCAAGGAGCTCGTTTCGTCACCAGCACACGGGGCCATCTAAACCGAGCCACTAACTCCGCGCTCGAGCCCGATTCCTGCCCCCGGGGCGCAGGTTTCAGCGGTGGGCGCCCACGCTCGGCTCTCCTCCGGAGACTCGCCCCCGGCCCGTGTGCGCCGGCGGCTGCTTTGCACAGCCGAGCGCAGAAAGGAGTCACCCAAATACAACCGTGGCCGCTGTTCGGCCTCTGCCCAGCGCTAGAGATTTGGCAGCAAGCGGGCCACGGCTTGAGAGGGGCTTTGAGGCACTTCCACAGCAGGAAACTGTGACGTTCAGACTAGATAAACCACCTGGCGCGAGTTTCTATTGAGCAGCTGGTTCCTTGGCCCGCACGAACGCGGTTATCGCGACAAGTCACGATCGGGCCCAGAGTCTCTGGGAAACGAACATGCTTCATTTCCAGCTCTGGGTCCTTCCTTGTGCGAGGCAGCAGATAACTTTCCTAGCCCGAGCCCTTCACAGAGGGTCTGCTCCTCTCCGCTGGTTGTCTGCCAACGCTTTGCAGCTTCAGCGGCTACCGCTCCGCATGCAAGGGTTGCTAGTCTAATCCGGATTACATTACTCACACCGATACCACACCCACCTTCGCTCTCCCGTACACACGTACACAGGAGGATCACCATGGAGACTAGCCCTTGTAACAGCCTCTGCCCGAGCTTTGTATTGAATCAGGTGGCTAGTACTTGCAAAAAGAAGGGATGATCTTTTCTAGAGAGCTCTGTGGCTTCTAAACAGCTGCTAAAGCCACGCCAGCGTCTGTGCCTATCGACCCGTCCCCGCCCCCTCGCCTATATCCCGCACGGATAATGACAGCCTAGCCCTGCGGTTCCCCTCGGGACGCGGATTCAACCCTTCTGCCGTCTACACAGCCACGGCCAGGCGGTCACACGCCTCCGAGCCCCAGCGGAGCTTGGCACGTTCAAAACCTCCGGGCTATTTTGTGAAGCGAGGGAATAATCTCAGCTGGGCTCAGTGAAATTGCAATTTCTTCTCCCACAGCCCGGCCAGGCCGAGCGCAAACCCCATCTTCAGCCCAGATTTATGACACCAAGCAGACTCCTCCCCCACGCGGCTCACTTAACCCTTCCTGCGCTCCCCCGGGGAACCCTCCCCCGCGCCGCTTTCCCGTGCTCCGAGGTGGGCTTGTGGTTTTTAAAGCCACCCTGCGGGAGCACGCGCCGCTCGTTAGCAAAAAGGTCCCAGGGACCGGGCAGCTCAGAGGCGATCACAACTCCCAATCGCCTAGAGTCTGCTCCTGCACCAACGGGACATAAGCGGAGCCAAGTGCGTTCAATCAGCTTTAAGGTACATTCTAGGTCGGGCATACACGATACTTAAACCTAATGATAACACGGTGCGCATCACCCTGGAAACCGAGAGGAGGAATATAGAAAAATGAAGGGGAAAGGAAATCCAAATGAAGGATAACCTGTCCGCTTGGTCATTGGCTATTAAAGCAACATCAAACATGAGCCAGCCCAAGTACTATTTTGTTTCTTTCAAAAATTGCACGTAACCCATGGAACCCCCAGCCTGTCAGAGGTAAAGTAAGGGTTAATCACGCAAGGGGTTAGTAAGCAAGACTCCTGATGATGAAAGTCCCTCTGGCTGAGTTTGAAAGGAGATTTGTTCAGACAAATTTTGATCGCCCGTCCGGAGCGCTTCAAACCAAGCCTGAAAGTTTCTGTACCTTCCCCAGGCGAGGTTCTAGCAGTGGAAAACTTCCTACCTAGAGATCCTTTAGCTGTGCTTCTTGAAGCAGAAACACACAAACACTGAACATTGCAGCTAGCCCTTAGGAAAGATCTACACAGAAATATTTGAAGGACTATAGAGAACGCGCGCGGGAGAGCATAGAATTGGGAGGACTCTACCTTGATCCATAGACCTCATGATGTGGTGGTAATGTACCAGCCTGCAGGCAGCTTCTCTCTGCATTAGGATTTTTTTTTAATTACTCAGTGGCAGTGGGGAAAAAAAAATCTTCTTTAACCATATTCAACCCAGGCTGCCCGAAGAGAGGCACCCCCCGTTGCTCGCCTCTCCTTGGTGGCTTTGGGGGTGCAAAGAGGGATCCGAACCGGGCTGAGTGTGTTCCTGAAGTGAAGTCAGTTCTCTGCTCTGAGATGTGGGTTACTAGAGAGGGAAAGGCCACTTCCTTCCCTGCTCCGAGTGTTTATAGTCTTTGAATGCTGTAAAATAACGGGATTCCCTCACTGTTTCCTCCTGTTTATCCCAGTGCCATGGAAACCCCTGGATCGCCTCCATCTCCCAAACTGAGGGCTTTCCTGCAAACTTCACACTCAGGAATCCATGACGTCTCCCAGCTCCGGGCCAAGGCAGCTCTGTGGCTTTTCTCAGTCTGCAGCACAAGCACTTAATTGTTGAGCCGAAAGTTACCGAGCGCGAGAGAAATATGGATGATGTTACAAATCCCAGTGTGTGTGTTTTTAAACAAAACTTGCAGGCACTGCAAAAGCTTTCAAAGCAACGGGGCTTCTGTGCAGCTTTCTCTCGTCCCAGCAGAGAAGCTGCTGCTTTTTTACCTTTGCATAAAAACATTCAGAAAACTCAAATCCCCGTCTCTGATTTAAAGTCCTTGAAATGTGCCAGCGCCCTAATAATATCCATCTTGTTATTGGCACAGGCTTTAGCGCCTCATTGGCACTGACTCGATCCTTCAGTCAATAAATATGGCTAGTGTCATTTCACAAATCTCTCTCTGTCTCTATTTTTAGATCTGTGTGTGTGTTTGTGTGGGTGGGTGGGCGGGAGGGGGGAGCAATCCCAAGGATTTCCATTGATACACGTGGATCTTAGCAAGAATGAAATAGCCAAGGAAGCTTCTGAAACCAAGACAACCCCTGTGTGTTTACACGGACTATGTATAAACAGGAAAATAAAGTCAAAGAAAACAGGAAAATAAAGCCCAAGATGTCATGACCTTGGTGGTGGCTTACAATGTATAGTTTTCACTGTTGTGTTAACAGGCTTCCCTTGGTTCTTTAATGGGAATTAGAGCCTACACTCAGATGGGAATTTTTTTCCATAAGAGATCAAGAGTTCAGAAATCAAAAGTGCTTAATTTGCACGTTGCTCTCCCGGTGTTTGTCCCTAATCCAATCAAGCAGTGAAATTTACATTCAATACAAGTTGCTGCCGAGGTCAGATAGAATCGTGGGTAGCAATAGAGAGTGAGTCACTTTCTTTGCAGATGGACTTGGACTTCACTAGCCTGGAGGGCTGGCTGGCACCAGCGGGACATTTCCATTTTTCACTCTCTCAGTCCCACATGGACTCGAAGGAGGTGTCACAATCAAACTTTCTGCTGCTCTGGTTTGTTGTCTTGCAGGCTAGCAACTGCCGGCAGGCCAGGGAAACAAGCGCACCTCACTTTCCTAGCCTTTGTCATTTTTGGACCCGCTCAGGCGGAAATACATTGTACCTTCCTCAGCCCCATTAGTGTCTGTTATGTAACCGTACGACTTCCACTGAACTCTCAAAGCACTTAGCAGTGAGCATAAGAGTCTGGTCCACCATCGGGGAATCCATCTTAACTTCATTCAATTAAGGTGCACCAACTTTTTAGATTCAGAAGGTTAGTACTGGATGTTCTGCAGCTGCTTGAGGATTAAGGCTGTGTCCCCACACCGAACACCTGGGGACTTCCCATTGATTCCTTTAATTCTCCACACATTCATTTAGCTTTTTCAGCTTGTCATTTGCTCAGTTTCAAGTCACTTATTCAGTGCCCTGAATGCAACTATGAACCGAGCCACTGACACGGTCACTGTTTTAATAAAGGACTGAAAGAGAAGGGGGGAAACACTGTTCTCAGGGAAGCCAGGAAGAAATAAAACGCCATCCCGGCAACAAACGGCATTTGTTGTGGGTCCCTTGTCCCACACCAACTCAATAATTCTAGACAGAATGAAGTAAAACTATTTTTTGAACACAAATCCTTTTCAAAAATGTTAGTATCTACTTCCTCATTTGGGCAGGGCCTATGCGACCATCGAAGTACCCCTAGTAACAAATACTTGACTCAGAATCACATATACTTCCCTATTGACCCCATTTGCCCTAAGATAAAAAAAATCCATCAAAAGGAGCAGAAAATTAATTGTGTTTTTCTTAGAATGCTTAACACGAAGCTTCAAGACAATCTCTTGTTTTCCAAGTGAGGTCAGTGCTTGATCCACTTACCACATTCATTGCCCCTTGAATTAAATGCTGGTGTGTTGGCCCTTTTTGTTTGTGTGTGTTGATTTTTATTTCTTTGTATGCGAGCTGATAATAACTGTGCTCTGTCTTCCAAGAAGGGTAATGTGATTGCCTTAAACCCAGACCCCAACTCTCTTCATAGCACTTCGGGCTGGATCCCACCATTACTAGCCATGAGACATCTCAACAGAGAGGAGGTGAGTGTCTATCATTAGTATTGAGGTGAGGGTAAGAGGTTGATGAAAGTGACCAGCTGGAGGAGGGGGTGAAAAGGGGATCAGAGGGGAGCAGTGGAGTACATGTGACCAGAGAGAGAGGAACAGCTGGGGTGTATGAGGGCAGGCCTGCCAGAGGGTATCCCAGAGTGAATGGAGAATGGGCTGCTGCCCCAGTGGAAAGCTTCGCCTCATCCTTGACCACACACTGCATAATAATCTGGGGAGCAGTCACAGCTCAGTGGTTATGGCACATAGGTTGGCTTCCCCAGGCTGGACGGTCTAAAAATACAACTGTCTTTCTTTTAATAGCTCAGTTTGATGGGCTCCAGCTTGTTCACAAGACGGAGTTTTCCTAAAATATCTCCTTGTACCAGTTTTTTCCAACTTAAAAATGCTGAATCCTGCTACCAAAATTAAACTCAGTGAAAAAAAAAAAAAAAAGGCAGAAGAGTGGGCCTGGCGGGCGGTCTCTGTAATGCTAGCATTCCCCACACCAGCATCTGACACAACTGTAAGATTTCCAAGGCTTTTGGAGAGTTCAGCGAGAGAATTGTGTCCTCCATTGGCTCCAACTCCACAGCTGAGTTAAACTTTCCTGATGGAACCTTTTCTCCATCTGGCTTCTGCTACTAGAGATTTGTGAGTGACTGTGGAGAAGGGGAGGATAGTTCAGATGTTATATAACTGTACAAACTCGAAGTGGGGGTAGAGACTTTCCCTAGAAACGAGAGATTTTTATATATATAGTTACTTTCAACTTCCTTTTCAAAGGAAGGCCAAATACCTCCCTCTTTCCTTTGCTTTCTAATTTTGGGATCACTAAGGGATTCTATTTTTGTAGGAAAGGAGACAATATCTATTTATTCCTCTTCATTAGAATATTCCCTCTTCTTTTGAGCAGCACCTTCAAGACCAAATTCTTTCCCCTCCACAAAAATACCACTTCTCCCATCTTAACATGGTTCATCCCCAGAGATCTGCAAACTCTACAAAGTTACTCGTGATTGTAGAGGACACCTTAGAGTGGCCTGATTTGCAGAGTGCTTTAAAGACAAGACCCTTGAAGCATCTGAATTTGGGCTTCCCTAAACTGAAGCACTCAATCACCAATGTTTGTGAAAACCTCGGCTGCAGCTGCTCAGTTGTGCCTGTGTTACTACATTATTTATCACTAATTATCCTGAGCAGAATTTGTTCCTTAATTTCAATTGGGATTAATATTTTCAGCCAATGACATGTAACTAGAAGGCACTCTTGGGAGAGCAGGGCAACTCTCCTCTCATAACTGCATTGAAATCAATCTTAGCTATTAAGGGATAAACTGCTGTGTAAAATCACCCTGCCTTACAAGTAATAGCCCATATCATAATCAACACAACATTATACATCTTCCCTACAAGTTGTATCTTGAAACTCCTGTTGGAAAGTTAAGCAGAGAAGGAGAACAATGAAAAAGGTACAGCATAGGCAAGGGAGAAAGAAGCTTTCAGGTAAAGTCTGAAATAAGCCAGAAAAGAGGCAGAAGGGTCCAAGAAGGATATTTTAGAGATCTGCAGAGGAGACGGCTCTCACAGCAACAGTCTCATCTCATCTCTGCCACCACACCAGTTAGAGCAGAGCATGTTTCAGACACAGTGAAACAACATGTAAAGTAGAATGAAAGGCACTTAGATACCAGGGGATACGGACCTACATAAAACAGAAGAGACTAATAATTTCAATGTGCAGTGATAAACAGCTTGCAACTGTGGTTACAGGGCAAAATTCAGCCCTCTGAGAAGCAACTAAGGAAGCTGTCGATGGATGATTGTGGAGCAGGTACACAAGGGGACTCTGCGTCCTACAGAGCTTGGCTTAACACAAGTTCTGTACAGCTCAGCACATAGAAAGACTGTGGGAAGGATGGGTTTGACCATTAGGACTGTATTTAGGTAGATCCAGTGCCATAAATGTTGCACTTGTTGTCCAAGTGAGTCTTAGCCCGAGTGACTCCAGAGACTGGAATAACAGCTATGAAGAGGCTGTGGGGCTGCCTTGCTCAATGCCTGGGGAGTGGGTGAAGATTCCAGCCCACAAGCCTGACATTGGTTCCCCACACAAAGTCCATTCCCTTGAGCTATGTGCCAGGAGTACATGAGCATGTGTAGATGTACCCCTAGAGTGTGAAATTTATGTCCCTGTAAGAAGGTTCCACTGTACATGTTATTCTGCATGATCTATTTATGTGTTGATCTTATTCTCTAGAGGCTTTGTGTGTATAGATCATTGTTGCTTGCAGTTATTTTCTGGGTAAGGAATTTTCTTTTCTGTTTTCTATAGGTTCTTATACCACACTCATCCACCTAGGGTCTGAGGGCCTTCCAGTAGTGCGTTCCGCAATGTGACTAATACCTGTCAGCTGCTGTTTGTTCTCTCGTCCTCCCCCTGGCAGAGAAGCCTGTAGAGGAGTGTCTGTTCTGGTAAGGTTGTAGGGGTTTTTTGTTTGTTTTAAATATACATGTTACTGTGTATTTGTGCTAGAGAAGGCAAAGTGAAAGGAACCTGCCTGGCTCTTGCAATGAGGACAGGGAGATTTGTGACTAAGGTTTGTTATACCCTGTCCTGTTCTTCCCCCTTTTTCCCCCCACCAATGAATGTGCTGAGTAAACAGGGTTGAATTTACAAAACTGCTCAATGGGAAAGCCTCCACAGTAGAACCCAGTGAGATCTGCATCATTACATTTGCAATACAAACGAAAGGCCATTTTTTTCTCATGCTCTCCAAGACATCATGGCTTCCTGAGGATGTGCTCTCAAGCCACTGCGGCAACTGCTCTGGGTTT